AAAGCTCTGAGGTGAAGAAAAAAGGAATAATTGAGGGGAGCCTGGGTGGGTCAGTTGGTTAAGCACCTGTCCGGTCATGATTTCAGGGTCCTGGGATTGACCTCTTTTGTTGGGCTCCCCAATCAGGGGGGAAGTCTGTTTCTCCCTCTCTCTGCCATTCCCCTGCTTGTGTATATACACGCATGTTCTCTTTGTCAAATAAAGTAAAATCTTTTTTTCTTTTTTTAAGATCGTATTTCCTTTCTTTTTTTTTTTTTTTAAGATTTTATTTATTTATTCATAGAGACACAGCTAGAGAGAGAGGCAGAGACACAGGCAGAGGGAGAAGCCGGCACCATGCAGGGAGCCCAATGTGGGACTCGATCCTGGGTCTCCAGGATAACGCCCTGGGCTGCAGGCGGCGCTAAACCGCTGTGCCACCGGGGCTGCCCTTATTTATTTCTTTTGAGAGAGAGAGACAGAACGAGCTTGCAAGCAAGAATGAGCAGTGGGGAGGGGGAAGAGGGAGAAGCAGACTGCTGAGTAGGGAGCCCTGACAGCTCCATCCTGAGCCAAAGGCCAACACTTAACCAAACCAACTGACTGAGCCACAGGTGCCCCTAAAGTAAGATCTTTAAACAGCAAAAAAGGAATAGGTGGAGCCTTGGCTAAACCTATTGACTGTTAGACCAACTTTAAGCATGGGAAGTTACCCCTGCTTGGGGAATTTTTGTAATCAAAATTCCATGCAGCTCACCTGGTTGCAACCTTTTACCAAAGGATGTAGAATTAAGGCTAGTGATTCAGATGATTACATACATGATCATCTGTAAGAAGTGTTTTTTTTTTTTTTAAATTTTATTTCTTTATGAGAGAGAGAGAGAGGCTCCATGTGGGGAGCCCGACTCAGTCCCAGGTCTCCAGGATCAGGCCCCAGGCTGAAGGCAGCACTAAACCGCTGAGCCACTCTGGCTGCCCTGTAAGAAGTGTTTTTATGTAAAAATACAAATTTCCCATCCTTTCTTCCTTCCCCCAACTTTGCCCCCCCGCAAAAAAAAAAAATCAGTGTTAATACTAAAGTGCAGATTTTTTTCATACAGAAAGGTCTCTCTCTCTCTCTCTCTCTCTCTCTCTCTCTCTCTCTCTTTTAAGATTTTATTTATTCATGAGAGAGAGAGGCAGAGACACAGGCAGAGGGAGAAACAGGCTCCATGCTGGGAGCCGTGGGACTCAATCCCGGGACTCCAGGATCAAGCCCTGGGCCAAAGGTGGCGCTAAACCACTGAGCCACCCAGGGATCCCAGAAAGTCCTCTTTTTGTATTACTACTCTTACAAGGCTATTATTATCTCTTGTTCAGAAAATCAGAAAAGTTGACTGACATACCCCAAAATGATGAGAAATAAAATTTTTGGTAACCGGAAAAATGGAACACTGTCAGATGTCCGCTTAAAAATCTTCCTAATCGGGATCCCTGGGTGGCGCAGTGGTTTAGCGCCTGCCTTTGGCCCAGGGCGCGATCCTGGAGACCCGGGATCAAGTCCCACGTCGGGCTCCCAGTGCATGGAGCCTGCTTCTCTCTCTGCCTATGTCTCTGCCTCTCTTTCTCTCTCTCTCTGTGTGTGACTATCATAAATAAATAAAAAATTTTTAAAAAATCTTCCTAATTTTTTTTTCTAATCAGTTTTAAATATTTTAGAAATTAGTATTTTAGTGTAAGGACTTACTTATATACTAAAAGTAATGAAGGCAGGATTTAAATGACTGAAGCAATGAATGTGAACTACTATAAATGAAGCAATTTATGTTTATTTCTAAGTGATCCCATGAATTCATCTATGGAATTATGATAAAACTAGATTTTATCTACTTCCTGATAAATCTGTTCATTTGCCAAATATTTATTGAGAACATAGAATGTTACAAAGCACTGGGAAATTTAGTCTTCTTGATAGCTGAAAGTTTAGCTGGAGTTTAACATTTAATGTACCTATTATAATAAAATGGTCTATAAAAAGAGCATAGGTGCTTGCTTAATTGTGCCACAGGTGGTACAAAAAGAAATGACATACATAGCACAGCATTACAGAGGCCACACTTGATACCTCTTGAGTTTAAGGAAGACATTGATGATTGATTCTAGCTGGATTTTTGTTGTCTGTTTTGGTTCTAGCACTTTGAATTCTATTATGATTTGATGCTTGTTTGAAATCATTCAAAATGATTTTAACTTTAAAAATCTCTGTTTCAGGGTGCCTGGGTAGCTCAGTCTATTAAGTGTTTGACTTTGGCTTAGGTCATGATCTCAGGGTTGTGAGATCGAGCCCATCAGGCTCTATGCTATGTGGGGAGTCTACTACTCACTCTCTCCCCCTGCCCCTCACCCTGCTTGTGCTCTTGCTCTCTCTTCAATAAATAAAACCTTAAAATTTTTTTTAAAAACTCATTGTTTTCATCTACTAAACCCTAAATTGCTTGTTTGAGATGGGCAGATAAAGCAACAAATTCTAAAATCACGATTTACTATGTGCTTTTTTTTTAAAGATTTTACTTATTGTTTTTAAGTTTATTTTTTTATTAAAGTTTTTATTTATTTATTCATGAGGGACACAGAGAGAGAGAGGCAGAGACACAGGCAGAGGGAGAAGCAGGCTCCATGCAGAGAACCTGATGTGGGACCCGATCCCGGGTCTTCAGGATCTTGCCCTGGGCCAAAGGCGGTGCTAAGCCTTTGAGCCACCCAGGGATCCCCTACTATGTGCTATTTTTGACAGAGTATGAGGCTAATTGAAATTGAGTGTGTATTTTGAGAAGGATGTCAAGCGGCTATGTGGATGATTTTATTAGCTGTAAATGCATAATGTAATGTATATCTTTCTGGTAGTTCAGTGATGATTTATTTTGAGGTTGTATTCTAATCTGTAGTAAATGTAATCTCTGGGCAGCCCGGGTGGCTCAGCGGTTTAGCGTGGCTCAGCGGTTTAGCGCTGCCTTCAGCCTGGGGCGTGATCCTGGAGACCCAGGATCAAGTCCCACGTTGGGCTCCCTGCATGGAGCCTGTTTCTCCCTCTGCCTGTGTCTCTGCCTCTCTCTCTGTGGGTCTCTCATGAATAAATAAATAAAAGCTTTAAAAAAAATAAAATAAATTCTCTCTTTTAAAAAAAATGAAATCTCTGAAGAACCATGTGTTTTTGTTTTTGTTTTTTTTGGAGTACTCCTGGGGCATACTGGCGTTGTTGTTAAGGATGTTGTTTACCATTTTATTTCTAGGAGGTCTGTGCTTACTTGGTGCATATGCTGACAGTGATGATGATGAGAGTGATGTTTCAGAAAAACCAGCACAGTCTAAAGAGGCGAATGGAAACCAGTCAGCTGATATTGATAGTACATTGGCCAACTTCCTAGCGGTTAGTGGTGCTTTTTGGATTTTTAGTTACTGAAGCCACTTTGGGACCTGGATCCCAGGTGGTTAGCCTACTTTTCTCAGTCTCAATGTCTCCCTCTCCCTTCTTTTCCCTTTCCATTTCTCTTCCTTAGTCCTCCCCGCTGCTCTCTTCTCTTTTGTAAAGCTTGTAAACAGAGGGAAAAAATGGATAATTAAAGGGTTTGGGAGGTTTTATGTAATTGGAAGATGAGAGTTTTGATTCAAAAAGTTGAGAACTGATCACGTAGAATTTTTTTTTTTAATGGTGATTGTCATTTCCTGTTTTCTGGTTTTGAGGTTATTAATGCATCTGTTAATGTTTTCATTCTAAAGGAGATAGATGCTATTACAGCTCCTCAGCCTGCATCTTCTATAGGAGCTTCTGCTCCACCTCCAACTCCACCTCGACCAGAGCCAAAGGAATCCACAACATCTGCCCTTTCTTCTACTACTTCAAATGGAACAGACTCAACTCAAACAGCAGGGTGGCAATATGATACTCAGTGCTCACTAGCAGGAGGTAAGTTTAATCCTTTGATTTTATTTACTTATTTTTTTATCCTTTGATTTTTTTTTATTTTTTTATTTTTTTAAGAAATCTAAAGTGCCATCTTTAAAGGTGTTGTAGGCGGCATTGAGATTCCCAAAGATGAAAGCTTGTATCCTTTAGCTTGAGACTTTAGGATTCTGGCCTATTAAATACACTATTTGGAAGATGATAAGGAGGACTGTTTTCTCTGAGAATTACTAGGATAATAATTGTATCTTTTGAAAAATAATTGCAAAAAAGAAAAAAAATTGCTTGCCCTTTTCACCAGTTGGAGTTAGGTCAAGTGAATAGTAAAAGCCATTGTTTTAGAAATTGGGGAGGGGAGCATTGAAAATATATTTTTGGACTATCAAACTGCTTTTTTGAGCCATGTGTGCAAAGATGATTTGAGAAGGAGTTTATCCCCAGGGGACATTTGCCAATGTCTGAAGACATTTTTGGTTGTCACAACAGGGGGTGGCAAATTGTTAATGCATCTAGTGAGTAGAATCTGGGATGCTAAACACTACATAGGACTGCCCCCACCACAAAAAAGAACTATCCAGCCTCAATCCTTTTTTTTTTTTTAAAGATTTAATTTCTTTATTCATGAGAGAGAGAGAGAGAGAGACAGACAGACAGACAGACAGACACAGGCAGAGGGAGAAGCAGGCTCCATGCAGGGAGCCCAGTGTGAGACTCAATCCCAGGACTCTAGGATCATGCCCTGGGCCAAAGGTAGACGCTCAACCACTGAGCCACCCAGGCATCCCTAGCTCAAAAGTTAACAGTGTTACGGAGGAACCCTGTGTTAGATTGTTACAGCTTTGAGCTGACTTGGGATAGGAGGTCAGAATTATCTGAAATTTGTGCTTTTTTTTTTCCCCCCACTTTTAATTTATTTTTATTTTTTTTAATGTTCTTAGTTTATTAGTCCTCTCACGAAAAATCTGCACAATCACCACAGATAAAGCCACTGCAGAATCCTTATTCCTCCTGTTGTCCAATCTCCAGCTCACGTTTTGCCAGCACCAATGTTGGCTTTTGCAGTCCCCCTTTCTTCATTCTGTTACTGCGTTCTTTGCGGTTTTCTTGAAGTCTTTTTCTTCTTATACAGGCCATGTCTTGCAAGTCTACGTTTGGGTTCATTTTTCTTTGCATAATCCAAGGAATCATAAGTCATGCCAAAGTCATTTATCTTGCCACCAGCATAATGGGTTCTGAATCCAAATCCAAATATGACATCTGGTGTGGTCTTGTACGTTTCGGCTGGTTTTTCCCGAATTTCTTGCTTAGGTACTATTGCCTTCCAGGGGTGAAGAACAGCAATGATCATCTGTTTCCCCTGAAGCAGTCGGATGGTCATGAACTTCCTGGTCCGGATAGTTACAGTGTCGTTCATGATGGCAGCCGAGGTTCAAGCAGCCGGGGAGGAAAAGAGTCACTTTTAATTTTAATTCCAGTATAGTTAATATACAGTGCTATATTAGTATTAGGTCTACAATATAGTGATTCAGCAATACTGTCCTTATTCCATGATCATAAGTGCATTTCTTTTTTTCTTTTTTTTTTTTATAATTTATTTATTTTTAATTTATGATAGTCACACAGAGAGAGAGAGGCAGAGAGAGAAGCAGGCTCCATGCACCGGGAGCCCGACATGGGATTCGATCCCTGGTCTCCAGGATTGCGCCCTGGGCCAAAGGCAGGCGCTAAACCGCTGCGCCACCCAGGGATCCCTCATAAGTGCATTTCTTAATCCCTATTACCTATTTTACCCATACCTACCTACCCTCTGGTAACAATCAGTTTGTTCTCTATAGTTAAGAGTCTTTTTTTCGGTTTGTCTGTCTTTTTGTTTTTTCTTCTCCTTTGCTCACTTGTTTCTTAACTTCCACAGGAGTGAAATCATACGGTATTTGTTTTTCTCTGACTAACTGAACTTTGCTTAGCATTATACTCTCTACTGTCTGTTGTTGTAAATAGCAAAAAAAAAAATTTGTTTTTAAGATTTTATTTATTCATGAGAGACAGAGAGAGAGAGAGAGAGAGAGGCAGTGACATAGGCAGAGGGGGAAGCAGGCTCTGTGCAGGGAGCCTGATGTGAGACTTGATCTTGGGACTCCAGGATCACTCCTTGCGCCGAAGGCAGATGCTTGACTGTTGAGCCACCCAGGCATCCCATAAATGGCAAAATTTCTTCTTTTTTTGTCTGAATAATATTCCATTGGGTGTGTGTGTGTGTGTGTGTGTGTGTGTATGTATGTATGTCTTTATTGATGGATCCTTGGGCTGTTTCCATAATTTAGCTATCATAAGTAATGCTGCTATAAACATAGGGGTGTGTATGATCCTTTCAAACTAGTGTTTTCATATGCTTTGGATAAATAACCAGTAGTATGATTTCTGGATCGGAAATTATATTTTAAATTTTTTGAAGAATCTCCATACTATTTCCCATAGTGGCTGTGCCACTTTGCATTCCTACCAACAGTGCAAGAGAGTTCTTTTTTCTCCACATACTCACCAACATCTGTTGTCCTCTGTTTTTGGTTTTAGCCGTTCTGACAGATATGGGATAATATCTAGTAGTTTTGATTTGCATTTCCCTGATGATGAGTGGTGTTGATCATCTTTTATGTGTCAGCCATCTGTATGTCATTTTTGGAGAGGTCTTCTGCCCATTTTTAATTGGATTTTTTTTGGTTAAGTTTTTTTTTTATGTATTTGGGTATTTTTTTTCTTTTTATCCAAATTTAAAAAAAAATGTTTATTTACTTATTCATCACACACACACACACACACACACACACAGGCAGAGACACAGAGGGAGAAGCAGGCTCCATGCAGGGAGCCTGAAATGGGACCCCATCCCGGGTCTCCAGGATCACGCCCCAGGCTGAAGGTGGCACTAAACCGCTGAGCTACCCAAGCTGCCCTGTATTTTGTTTTTTTGTTTTTTGTTTTTTTAATAATAAATTTATTTTTTATTGGTGTTCAATTTACCAACACCCAGTGCTCATCCCGTCAAGTTGTATTTTGGGTATTAACCATTTATCAAATATCTTCCCCCCCATTCAGTAGGTTGTTCTTTAGTTTTGTTGAGAAATTTGTCCTTTTTAAATTTTTTAAAATTTGTTTTATTTTCTTATAGTTGGAATTGAGATGGGAGATTGGCAGGAAGTCTGGGATGAGAACACAGGATGCTATTATTATTGGAACACACAAACGAATGAAGTGACTTGGGAGTTACCCCAGTATCTTGCCACCCAGGTACAGGGATTACAACATTACCAGCCCAGGTAAGAATAGACTTGAAACATAAATTACTTGGAAGTTAGAGTCTTATCTTTTGTTGATAATATTTGCCTCTGTTTGTCTTGTTAAGTGTGTATATATATATGTGTGTGTGTACATATATACATATTTTTTGTTTGTTTTTAGTTCTGTAACAGGTGCTGAAGCTAATTTTGTGGTTAATACAGACGTGTATACTAAGGAGAAAAACGTTTCTGTTTCCAGTAGTAAAAGTGCACCAGTGATAGCAAAGCGAGAAGTTAAAAAGGTCAGTTTTACCAACTTATTTCATTTGCTTATTTCAAATCTAAAGAAATTGTTACACTGGCACAGGTATAGAAATCTTCTATTGGGCCCCTGGGTGGCTCAGCGGTTAAGCATCTGCCTTTGGCCCAGGGCATGATCCTGGGGTCCTGGGATCGAGTCCCACAGCGGGCTTCCTGCATGGAGTCTGCTTCTTCCTCTGCCTGTGTCTCTGCCTCTCTCCATGTCTCTCATGAATAAGTAAATTCTTAAATACAAAAACCCTTCTGTTAATATTTCACAACCAGCTATGAAAAATAGAATAAATGCCGGTTTTTAAAGCTTTATTTAATCTAATGTTTATATTTAATGTGTAGCATTTATGACAGTTATCCATCCAGTTCAGTGGTTCTTTTGGAACCTTAGAGTGCCATGCTCATTGGGTCATTTGAAAATGTGTGAGCAGCCAAGCAGGCAAGGCTTCCCATTTCCTTCTCCAGTTCAGAATAGTACTTTCAGGGGGTGCTTGACTGGCTCAAGTTGATAGAGCATGCAACTCTTAATCTCAGGATTGTGAGTGTAAGCCCCACGTTGGGTGTGGAGTTTACTTAAAAATAAACATATACATACATATTTTTAGAATAATTTGGTCTTTGCAACTCTAGGAGGGAGGTAGACTATTACCCCAAGGAGGAAATGGGTGCTTTTAAGTATAATCACATTTCATTTTAGAATTATTTCCCTTTCCTCTAAATCACCTTTCTAGCATTTCTGTCATTATACAGAGGGAGGCTATTTATCTAGTCATATGTTGAATTGACAAAACTCAGATCTTATTTATTAAAGATTTTATTTATTTATTCATGAGAGAGAGAGCAAGCAGGGCAGAGACACAGGCAGAAAGAGAAGCAGTCTCCATGCAGGGAGTCCAATGCGGGACTCGATCCCAGGACTCCAGGATCACACCCTGGACAAAAGGCAGGTGCCAAACTGCTGAGCCACCCAGGGATCCCAGATCTTAATTATTTAAATTCTGCTTTTTTTTTCTATGATTTTATTTATTCACGAAAGACAGGCAGAGACAGGCAGAGGGAGAAGCAGGCTTCCTGCAAGGAGTCTGATGTGGCACTTGATCCTGGACCGGAGGATCACGTCCAGAGCTGAAGGCAGACACTCAACCACTGAGCCACCTACGCGTCCCTAAATTCTGCTTCTGCTAACCTGCCTTTAGATTTGGAGAGTAGAGGGGAGCATATGTATGAATCCCATCCAGAAGTAGGTTCTAGTCCAATAGTGCTTTCTAAAGTAAACAGTGTTCATGATACGTTCATGTGAAGAGAATGGTACAAATATATGTACTGACCTTTTGGGAGTTAGTGGTTTTTAAGAATATCCAGTGATTGAAAAATCGTCATTTCTGGCATGAACAATTGGATATGTACTTGGGTGAGATTTTGTTTTGTTTTAATAAATGAGATTATTTTAATTTTCATAGGAAGTAAATGAAGGAATTCAGGCTCTCTCAAATAGTGAGGAGGAGAAGAAAGGGGTGGCAGCATCACTGCTTGCTCCTTTGTTGCCTGAGGGAATAAAAGAGGAAGAAGAAAGATGGAGAAGAAAAGTAATTTGTAAAGAAGCAGAGCCAGTTTCAGAAGTGAAAGAAACAAGTACAACAGTAGAAGAAGCAGCAACAATAGTAAAGCCACAGGAAATTACATTAGACAACATGGAAGACCCTTCTCAGGAGGATCTTTGCAGTGTTGTTCAATCTGGAGAAAGTGAAGAAGAAGAGGAACAAGATACCCTTGAGCTGGAGCTTGTTTTGGAAAGAAAAAAAGTAAGTATTTTAAAATGCCTTTTCTCCCCTCAGTACTGTTACACTCTCGTATCATTGTGCTCAGTGTATTACTATTATTGGTATGTTTTCTTTAACCTTTTTTCTAGATAGGTTTAAGCTTACACGATAAAAACTTAAATTATGAAGTTGTAGTTCTTTTGGTTCCTGATGATGCTTTTGATAGTTGACAACTAATAAATACCCATATTGCTCTGATTTAAAGATAGCTGGATACAGTGAGTAACGTATCTTTTATTTAGCTTCTTAACAAATGAGCATTGTAAATTCTTGATGATAACTTGGTTTTTAACGCAATAAAGTATAGATTGACTTCCAGTGATCATCCATGGCATTGTTTGCAAAGTTACTACATGGGCTTTGTAAAATTAAGAGGAACCAGTAGTTTCATGTGCTTCCCTTTCTTTTCTTTTCTTTTTTTTTTTAAATTTTTTTTAAATTTTTATTTATTTATGATAGTCACAGGGAGACAGAGAGAGAGGCAGAGACACAGGCAGAGGGAGAAGCAGGCTCCATGCACCGGGAGCCTGATGTGGGACTCGATCCCGGGTCTCCAGGATCACGCCCTGGGCCAAAGGCAGGCGCCAAACTGCTGCGCCACCCAGGGATCCCTTGTGCTTCCCTTTCAAAAAAGATGGTCCACAGGAAACATTCCTGATTGAGAGGTTGATTTTTACTTATTTTCTGTCCTGACTTTTCTTGAAACAGTTTCATCTGCTACTTTGAGTATGAGCAAAATCTTAACAGGTGTTATGACAGCAATATCTTGAAGCTTTCCCCCTTTTGAAAAATTTTAAGCTATGGAGAGGGACAAGCTAAGCTAGACTTTATCTATTGTGTTCATGTATTGGAAAATTTGTCTCAGTGGATCTCTAGAACCTATCCCTTAGAATCTGTCCCCTTCAAATTGATAATTGTTAACTACAATCATGAGTAAACTTACTGAGTAATAATAAAATACAAGCATATAATGCTTGGCTCTCATGGAAAAATGTATTAAGAAATAT